TATTTTATATTATCAACAATGAGTGTATTATTACTCGTATTACTGATTGCTTTCTCAAATGGACAAGTTTGTTTTGAATAAGTATTTTAAATTATAAAGTAGATATTGACTTTTATTTTTATTGAAAATAAAAGAAAATCTAAAATGAAAAGAAAGGAAAAAAGATTTTAATTAAAAAATGAAATAAACTGACAAAATAGATGTATGCTATGGTAAGTACATTTGGAGGATATGATGTAGTTAGCCCAATTGATGCTTGTAGAGGAGAACAATGCAGAAAACAAGTTAAGGCAATTATGACTAAAGCACAAGCATTAGAAAATAGTTTAAAAAAATTAGATGATACTGAAAGAGCGTTAGTACGTGAAAACGAACATGATATGGCAGATATGGCAGTATTTACAAGCCACGATGAAACAAAAACATTAAGAAATAAAATCCAAGTTCAAAATGAAAATTTGAGAAAAGTAAGAAAGACTAGAGTTGAATTAATGAGAACGTTATATAAACTTGTTGGCAAATTATCAGTACCACAACAAGGACGTTTAATTAGATATTTAAATCTTGAACACAGAATTGATATTAAATATGATAATTTTAAAGAAGGAGAAGGTATTCCACAAAAAATGAAAACATGTGAAAACAAGCGTGGAGTTGACCCAGAAATTGACGAAAATTAAAAAAAGTTTAAGCTTTTCATCAAATTGTGGTTGTTATTGCTTCAATTGGGTTTCTTTTCATCAACTGTTTTTATTTTGTTCATTTCATTGAAGTCTTTTAAAAAACCACAAAAAAATCAATTTCTTTTTTGTGTTTTGATTATAATTTCATAATAATTAATTACTTTTATTAGAAAGTATAATTTAATAAAGAAATAAAAAATAACAAAAATAAGAAATTCTTTTAATACTTCGAGATGAACTTAAAAGATTTAAGTAACACATGATTTTCATTATCTTCTTCTTCTTTTGGATAAAAACTCATGTCAATGCTAATGAGATTTCATGTCAACCAATTTCAATTAATTGTAATGAAGGGTTTACAGGAGAGAATTGTCAATTTTTAGAGATTAATAAAGATTTTCATATTACTGGAGAATGTGATAAGTTAATGAAAGGAATTGACCAAATTAAAATATCAAAGAATTGTACAATTGAAATAGACAAAGACATTACCATTCAACAAAAAATAATTGTAGAACCTAATATTCATGTTATTTTAATGAACTATAGTATTATTAAAAATCAATTTATTATTGAAAGAGATAGTGTAGTAGAAATTCCACAAATAGAAATTAAACAAAGTAAAGTTGTTGTTAAAGGAAGATTAGAAGTGAAAGGAAATGTTATTATTGAAGAGAATTCAACACTTGAAATTAACAATAAAGGACATTTTAATGTTAAACAAGGAAAAGTTGTATTAAAATCAAATGGGTTATTTATTAATGGAAATGAGAGTGAAGTAATTATCTTTGACAGTTTAATAGGATATGAAAATTCATCAATTTACTTTAAAGAAGGAAGTCATTTAGTTATTAAGAATCAACTTGAATTATATGACAATACTATACTTACAATAGAAAGAAAATGTATTATTAAAGTTAA